CTCCAACCTTGGCAACTTTAAGCCTGGAGGACTTCAACTCCCAGAATGCCCCAGCCAGCAAAGCTGGCTGGGGTATTCTGGGAGTTGAAGTCCTCCAGGCTTAAAGTTGCCAAGGTTGGAGACCCCTGATCTATAAGTACTGCTTTAAATGCTCTTTTGCAAGGAGTCTCAGGCAGCAATTTGCCTCATTCTCTCTGCTCCCCTCCCACCCTCACACTTTTAGATGCTCTGGAAGAAAGCGGCTTTTAAAAGTAAGGCTGTAGCCCTCCCCAGTTTGGCATCTTGGGGGATTCTGGGAATTGCAGCCTTAAGACCTCTGGAGGCCCCCAGGTGGAAAAGGCCCTTCGTAGATGGAGGCAATGTTGTCTGTTTGCTATAGCCTGGGATGGGTGGAGCCATGGATACCGCATAGATAATACTGCAAAGGTGGGAGGGGGCGGAGGTCCCCCCGTCTTTTTTTTTTTTTGGATTATGGGGAGGAAATGGGCAGGTACTAGGAAGGGGCTGGGCTGGGGAGGCCATTGTGACCTGAGGGGGCCTCTGCCAGAGGAAGAGCCTGCATGCCTACGAGAATGCCCTCACTTGCTGTGCAGACTGAAGAAACGTTGCTGATGTGAGCAGATACATCTGGGGAAGGAGGCTGAAGGTGGGGAGGTGGCACAAGGAGTGTGTGTGTGTGTGTGGGAGATGGCATTTTGCTTGTTCTGCTCTTGGGGGGGGGAGGGGAGGGGGGAGAATTGGAGCCCAGTTTCCCAACTTCTTCAGCTTCATTCTGAGGGATGGGAGAAATGCTAGGAGGGTGCAGCCTCCTTTGGGGGAAATCTCTTTGAGCTGCTGAATCTCTTTCCTGCCTTACCTCCTCACTTGCTGCTTCATCCTTTTCCAAGTTTTTCCACCAAGGGAGCAAGAGGCAGGAAGCTTTGGCCCTCCACCCCCTCCCTTCCTTTGGCCCTCCACCCCCCCTCCACCCCCTCCCTTCCTTTGAATTTCTAATTCATTTGTACTTCTGGGCCAATTAATTAACAATGGGAGAAGCACACACTCGCGCGCACACACACAAACTCCTAATGGTACCTTCAAGGGTGGGGGGGAGGGGTTGGGATCAGAGCCTTCATTCCACTTCATCTGCATATGGGGAAGTAGACAATGGCTGCTAGAAAGCAAAGCAATTGCTCCTTGGGTTTGCTGTAGCAAAGGAGAATTACAATCCAGTGCAGGTTTTTTTTTTAAAAAAAACCTCTTGAGTAGATCCATAGTGCCTGACTGAAGTTGGATCTCTAGGAGCTCAGAGCCTTGAGCCAAGGTCCTCAGTGTGATTAGTATGACCTAGGCAGTAAGGGCCTCTGAAATCCCATCTAGGTTTTTCTTCTTCTTCTTCTTCTTATCTCTTTGCTCCTAGCTGTAGAATGCTTAAATCTCTTTTGTATTGGGAATGAGAAAGTAAAGAGAAGGACCTTTCACCAGCCTTATACATAGGAAGACAGCCCCCCCACCCACACCTAAACAGGGATGGGTAGTGATTGTAAATCTAGATTGGTGACAGGAGTGGGGATTAAAGCATTGCCACAGTAGATGGAAGATGAGCTGTAGCTAAGGTAAGTGAGCTAATGAAGACTTGGGGAGGAGACCCCTTAGACAGGTCAGTGGGTAAGCAGAGCAACAGCTGACGCAAAATGGGTTGGGTTGAGGCTTCTTCCACAAGGCAGGCGAGAGTTACCAATTCTCCCCAGGATTAAATCTGGGCTGCTAAAACCCAACTGCCCTTTGGTTGCAGCAAAGGGACCCAGAAACCTTCCTTGTCAGTCCTCTGGCGCTGAGCAGTAGGTTGAGCTGAAAGTGGATGCTGGTAGAACCCAGGGCACCTATCTTGAGCAGGAGAGCTTTCTAATGTTGGTCTGGTCAGACGTTCAGAGCGGGTTGGGATTGCAGTCAGCTGCCTCATGATAAGTTGAAGGGTTTGTATTCGTTTTCTCTCTCCCACCTCCCCACCCCTCGTCATGGCCTTTCTAACGAGTCTCGGGGAGACCTCAACGGGGATGGAGGAAAGGGGAGGAAATGGTCCTTCTGCCCCAACATCCACCTGCTGCTCGGAGTCGGCCTGCCGGGCTCTGCTCACCCATGCCTTTGTCTTCAGGCCGTACGGTAGTGAAGCCCATCGCCCACTGGGATTCGGAGGATTCTCAAGAGGAGTTTCCAGCCCCCTGGGAAGTCATGCTGGGGGCCACGGAGACCGCTGAGCAAGACTCTCTGTTGCAGCGTAAGTCAGCCCGGCGCTGCGTCAAGCAGAGGCCCTCGTATGACATCTTTGAATCCTCTGACTCAGACACAGAGCCGGCCTCAGCCACTCATCGCCGGAAATCTTCGCGCGACTCAGGTGAGCTGTGAGCTTTCGGGTTGCTTAAGTCCATGACTTCCACATAGAGATTTGCCAGCCTGCCGGTAGGCACCTGTACTAAACAATCAGCCCTCACATATACTGTATCTGAAGCTGTGGCTGTGGTTATTGGTCACAATTTTCTTAAGAGGAAGCTCGTGATAGAATGACTCAAAAAATACAACACAGGACCTGAGAGTAGGACCTGGTCTCATTTTGGTGTGATGCCATGTTAACAGCAAGCCAGAAATCTTTGATGCTCAAATGATTGATAGTCCAGTAGATTTCAGGTTTATTGTTGACTCGTAGCTTCTCTGAGGTTAAAAGCCAATGGATTTGCCATGCCAGGTGAAGAATGGAGTAGCTTCTCATCCTGTTTGAGTCCGATGCAAAGAATATACGCTCTTAAAATGCTCATATGTTTCCAGATTTGCTTCCCGTGGACCCTGAGGAGCAAAGTCGGCCCCGTAAAAGTTCTTTGCAGCCCGTGGTGCAGCTGAAAGCGAGGAAGAAACCAGAGAAGGTGAGCCATCAAGAAAAGGTGAGACAGGCAAAGATCCACATCTGGGCAAAGTTTTATTGTGGTTTGTATTGTAACTCAGGAGGGTGCACAGTGCCCATCAGGGACTTCAAGGAATCCACTGTGTGTTGTGTTCTTTAAGTGGGATATGAGCCAAATGGCAAGTCATTTTGTTTTTCACCAAGATTCATTTCACTTATGGGAAAATATGCCAATTTTTCCTTCTTCCTTCCTTACCCTCCCCCATATCCATTTATTTCTTCTCTCGTCATACTCTAATACCAGCATTGTGTATCCCACAGGCAACCACAGTAAATGTCTCAGAATATTCTATTCATCTGCCGTTATCTTCCCTTCCTTTCTCTGTCCTTCACAGGACATCCCTCCTCCTGCCTCACTCCCCTCCATCTCCAATGGCTGGAATGGGAAACAGAAATCCACGGATGGAGTCCACCGTCTCAGGGTTGATTTCAAGGTGAGGCGGGAACATCTGTCTCACCGACACCCAATTTGAAAGGATGTCATATACAGCGAAGTCATGTTGGCAATTGCTAGACACCAAAGTGTATTCCCTAGTGGAACAAAATCTCAGTTGGCACCTTTCCTAAATCTGTTGTTTACAGCTTTATGCCTATTAAGCCCAAGGGGCTCTACTGATGTTATTGAACCAGGTCTGAACAATTTTGGTCTAGGCTACTGCAGCATGCTCTACACAGGACTATCCTCAGAGATTGTTCTGAAGTTTCATTAGATAAAAGGTTTGGCAGCTGATCTATGTACCCGTGCACGGTTTTGTAAGCTTGTTTGTCCAACATTAAAGGATATATGATGGTTCTTGGTTATTTTTTATGACTCAGTAGAAGATGTTCATTTTAGTTTTACCTTTTTGAATAGACTCTGATCTCTAAATACAAGTTCCTATTAGTCTTGCTAAGTGCACAGGAGGATTTTTCTTATGTCATTCTGAAACTGCAGAACAAATTTACTTTGATGCTGATTGACACTCTCACTCACTCCCTCTTTCTCCTTCTTTTCTCCCTCCATCTCTCTCCCCCTTCCTCCTTCCCTTTTTTCTTTTTCCCTTCTTTTTCTTTCTCTTTCTTTCTTTCCTTTCACTCTCTCTCTCTCTTTCTTTTTTTTTCTCTCTCTCTCCTTCCCCACTCCCTTTCTCTCCACCTTACTGTGTACAAATTTACCTTCGTAAATTTTGTAAGATTGGTAAATTCCCTTTCAGCTCAGTGATTTACTGCATGTGGCTCTGTAGCTTTCAGAGCAAACTTGTTTCCCTGCTTGTGTGCCTTGCAGGAAGACTGTGACTTGGAGAACGTCTGGCTGATGGGCGGCCTCAGCATCCTCACTTCAGTACCGGTCACCACGCAGGTGGTATGCCTGCTCTGCGCAAGCAAAGGTTTCCATCAGGTGGGTTCGAGGAAAAGGAGCCGAGAAGTACCCCAAAGGTGGGGGGCATGAGTTCCCCCTAGGCAGGAATTTGAGGGAGGGGTCCTTTTACCTTCAGAATGGGGTGAGATTTGGGGATTTAAAAAGGGCTGCCTGTTTTCATGGAGGTTAGGATTGCTAACATGACTGCTGCCTCTTCTGCAGCTGGTGTACTGCCAGGTATGCTGTGATCCTTTCCATGTCTTCTGCCTGGAGGAGGATGAACAGCCGCTGCCCGAGCAGGAGGACAGCTGGTGTTGTCGCCGCTGCAAGTTTTGTTATGTCTGCGACCGCAAAAACAAAGCATCCAAGGTAAGGAAGTTTTGTGCGTGTGTGTGCGTGCGTGTGTGTGTGTGTGTGTGTGTGTGCAGGCAGGGAATATCTTGGCCTGTGCCCCTTCTGCTAACAGGAAAATAGCAGTCCATCATTGCATCACCCAACAGCTCTGTGTAAGTGGGGCAGGAGTCAGCATTCTGGAAACGGCAGTGCTCTTCACTTTTTCAAGCTCACGGATGGAGGATTTGAAGGGTCAGGAAAGTGACTTTAAATCAACTGCTCCTTAATCTTCATCTCCTATTTCAGGATTATGGGGAGAGTGTTTGCGGGCATCATTCCCCTTCTTTAAAGCCCAGACTTGGGAAACGTAACCAAAAACAGGCACGTGTGTAGCAATTGCAGAAGCAGCAATAAGCTGAGGTTTCAGAACACAGTAATCCCATCCTCCTTTGGCTTCCTCTTTTGCTACTTCCTTCCTTCCTTCCTTTTTCATGAGTTCTCTCTCTCTCTGTCTCTCTCTCTGTCTCTCTCTCTCTCTCTCTCTCTTTTCTTTTTGTAGAGCCATATGGGTACTCAGGCATCATCCTATTATTTTCTTAACTCTTGATTTCCTTAACATGAGTAGCCCACCTCCCAAATGGCTTCACTGGTTCTCTTTTAGCCCACTTGGATATTGATTTGTCTCTCTGGTGCTCTCCGCCCCTTCTCCCTCACCCATAAAAAAACAACAACAATTTCTTATGTATTTATATTCAATTTCTCTGGCTTTTGTGCACTTAGGACAGTGAACAAAAACAGCATTTCAGATTGTTCCTTCACTGTGTCTCAAGACTTTGTGGGTCTTTTGTCGCCTTATCCCAGTGTTTCTCAGCCGTGGCAACTTTTAAGGTGATAACTGGAGGATTCTGGGAATGGAAGTCTACATACTTTAAAATTGCCACTGTTGAAAAACACTGTCTCTGCCTTTGGTCCCTACCATCTCATGTCCTTTCAGTGTCTGCCCAACTGTAAGTTCAGTCAGGCTGGCAGTTACCCCATCTCATCTCCCTGCACAGGTTTGCAGCACGTTCTCAGCTGCCACCGTTGTCATCCCATAAACCACTCGGAGTTTGTAGCAATGTAGAAGCTCTGTAAATAAATAAAGCACATTGGTGGTTGATTTGCAGCACCAGAAGCACAATAATTGCTGTTACAGGCAGGGGTGGGATTCAACCGGTTTGTGCGAACTGGATACTAATTTTACATCTGGTTCACCGAACTGATAGTTGAACCGACTGGCTGGGCCCACCCGCCCCTCCCCTCCCCTCCCCTCCCCTCCCAGGAGTCTACACGCAGCCCGTTTTGGAGGCCAGGTAAGTGCAGGAGGCTCTGGGAGGGGAAAAAACAGGCCTCCCAGACATTCCAGAAGTCCGGAAACAGGTCCATTTCTGGCCTCCAGAGCCTGGGGAGGCTGTTTTTGCCCTCCCGGAAGCTCGAGGAAAGCCTCCGGAGCCCGGGGAGGGCAAAAACGCTGCCCCCTGCTGCAGGAGGCCGAGTAGGCCACACCCACCGTGGCCATGGCCACCCAGCAACCGGGCAGAGAACCGTTTGCTGAAACCCCTGGTTTCATGTAATCCTCGACTTAACAACCATTCGTTTAGTGACCATTCAAAGTTACAGCGGCATTGATAAAAATGACTTATGACCATTTCCCCCCACTTAATGGCCATTGTAGCATTCCCGTGGTCACGTGGTCAAAATTCGGACACTTGGCAACCGGCATGCATGGATGATGGTTGCAGTGTCCTGATGTCACGTGATCACTTTCTGACAAGCCGCACTCACTTCAGAACTGTGTTACTAACTTTACAACTGCGGTGATTTACTTAACAGCTATGGCAAGAAAGATCTTAAAGTGAGGCAAAACTCACTTAATAAATGTCTCGCTTAACAACAGAAATATTGGGCTCCTTTGTGGCTGTAAGTCAAGGACTGCCAGTAAACAGCCAAAGGATTCTCAACCGGAGAGAGGTATTTCTGCAAGGTGGTTGTTGTGTTTTTTTTTAATCTCCATATATACAGCAAAGGCAAACAGAAGTAAGTAGGCGAAGGGTGTTAAAAGGAGCAAAGAAAAGACCCCGCAATATTACAGCTCTGCATGAAATAGGGAGGGGAATGAAGATGCCAATTTGAACAAATGGGGCAGGTGGATTCAGTAGTGCCCACAGCATGGCAGGCTGGATGGGCATTGAGTAGAAGAAAGAGAAACATCCTGATCATATACAAAGATTTAAGCTTTTTAAAACAAGAATTCTAAGTATTTGGGTTTTCTTAATATAGCTTTAACACAGGGGTCTTCAAACTTGACAGCTTTAAGACTTGTGGTCTTCAACTCCCAGAAATCTTCCTCCAGTCATGTTAGGTCAGGAATTCTGGGAGTTGAAGTCCACTTAAACTTGCCAGGTTTGAAGACCCTTGTTTCAGTGTTTAGCTCTCCGCTTTGTTTACTTCTGCGCCCTTTTTGCATTCCTGATCAGAGTTCTCCTTTAGGAGGTGTGAAGGGTTCCAAATACAGGGGTAGCTGCTGGATTTTTCACGCCCCTTACTCCCTTTCTCTCTTTCTTCTATAACCCGCGACAGCAACTGCTGGAGTGTGAGCGCTGCAGGAACTGTTATCACTTGGCCTGTCTTGGCCCCAACTATCCCACCAAACCATTCCGTAAGAGGAAGGGCTGGGTAAGTAGAAAATGTAGGGCGGCGTTTCTCAACCTTGGGAACTTTTTAAGGTTTGTAGACTTTCAACTCCCAGAATCCCCCAGCCTGCTATGCTGGCTCACTTTTCAGTTCTGGGAATTGAAATCCACATACCTTTAAAAAAAAAAGTGGCCGAGATTGAGAAACACTAGAGTAGAGGATGAGAGTGAGCCAACTCTACAACCTTTCTACTGCAGGCTGAACTGTCCCTATATTGCAATTGTGGAGTCCTTTGCTTTTTTACTTCCTTCAGATCTGTTCCGCCTGCATCCGCTGCAAAAGCTGTGGGACAGCGCCGGGGAAGAACTGGGACACGGAATGGTCCAGCGATTACAGTCTCTGCTCGGCCTGCTCTGTGCTGTACAATAAAGGTGAGCGCAGTAAAATCCTCCGAAAATTTCCCAAAGTTTCCGTTATAGCAATAACGCTTAGACTTATATACCGCTTCGCGGTGCTTTTACAGCCCTCTCCAAGCGGTTTACAGAGTCAGCCTATTGCCCCCAACAATCTGGCTCCTCATTTTACTCACCTTGGAAGGATGGAAGGCTGAGTCAACCTTGAGCCAGTCAGGATAGAACTCTTGACAGTGGGCAGAGTTAGCTTGCAATACTGCACTTTAACCACTGTGCCACTATGGCTCATAATCGTTAGCAATCGAATGCTTAGCAGATGGTTCAATACAAGGACATATGTTTAATGAATTTATGGACCATTAGTCTCCGGTGCCAGCCTGTCCTTTTAACCATTACTCCATACTTGTTTTCCAAGGTAGTTCTTGCCTATGCATTGCCTGTATTTTTTTTACAGAGGTATAGATTACTCCTACCAGTTTTCTCCCATAGGAACAGCCTTATAAGGTAGGTTGGGCTAAGAATGAAAGGCTGCCCCTTAGACTTGAACCCGAACGATGTAACTTCAGAGAGATTAAAATGTATCTGTGCTTATAACTGCTGTGAAGAATATCGGAAAAGCTGCTTTTTATATCCTGTTTTTTGTTTTTCTTCCCTTTTTTTCTAGCAGTTTTTGCTTCCCCCACTGCCTTGATTCATTGCTTTTTCTTTGTTCTCTTTATATTACTTTGTATTGGTTATTTTCATCTGCTGATTTAAAAGCCACAACGACCATTATATGCATAAAAAATGAATAGCTTGGTCTCCTCACTTCTAGCCCACATTTTCTCCCTCCATTCCACCAGACTAACTGTTTTCAATTACCAAACAAAAATGGTTTAATTTTTCAACCTTTTGGTCATTTTAATTTTGTTCTGTTTCTATGCTGAGGCACAGTTATCATTCTCCTTTATGGCCAACAGCTTCTGTTCTGCTTTTATAGATGTTTCAGTTTTTTTGTTCACGGAATATTGTTTGGATACTGAAGTACAGGGCATCAATGGAGCAAATGTTGAAATCTTAACCTTTCTTTCAAAAGCTGGATGGGTTCATCGTATATCTCAATGTGGTCTCTCTTCCTCATGCAGGGAACTACTGCCCAATCTGCTTGCACTGTTACGAAGACAATGACTACGAGAGCAAGATGATGCAGTGTGCCAAGTGTGACCACTGGGTTCATGCCAAGTGCGAGGGACTTTCAGGTTTGTTGTCTGGAGCAACAGGGTGTGATGACCTGGGGTGTGACACAAAAATGACAAAGTCACCACAAAGTAGAATAAATTCCCTTTAATGCCTCCAACTTGGCCCCAATGTCCAATTATGCTCTGCTGGATAACAAACTCTTCCAAAAACAGTCTACGAAGGGCAGAAATGCAGTCTGAACCCAAAGTAAAGATAATTAGAAATAAAAAAAAACCAACACAAACCACACTGAAGTAATTAACACGGCAGGCCAGGATGATAAATTGCAGACTTTCAAAGGATAACGCAGCACCCACAGTTGGGACTTTGCTTCCAGCAAAGAGCCGTGTGCAAACGCCCCACTTATATCCTGTTCTCCCAGCTGCAACTCATGAAAGGAATCAGGGCCGCCTTCTCTCTCGTAAGCCACTTTGCTCCCTTCTCTGTTCCTCCCTGCATGCCCTAGGATGAAGAGGGGATGGCCCTGGGTCTTCCTCTGAATGCCCAGCCAGACTGTGCCCTTCCCCTGTTTCTTCCGGAGCCACATTCCCACTCCTTGTCAGCTGCTCAATCTCCCCCTCAGAATCAGACTCCAACAAGGGCATGACACAGGGTTTAGTTCAAGCAATTTTGTTGTCCATCCACATTTTGAAAGAAACTAGGGCTAGGCCTAAGAAGATGGATCTCATTGTTGTTCCGTCAAAATTTCTTCCAGACTGGCTTCACTCATTACACTATTACAGGGGTGTCAAACTCAAGGCACACAGGCTGGATCTGGCTCACAATGTGGTCAAATCCGACCCACGGGGCCGTCCTGGTCTACCCAATGCGAAGAGGAAACATGCCAGCCGTTTGGGGAGTGGCGCAGTGATAGTTTTTTTTACTATCAATTCTGTGATATGGCTTGGTGGGCATGGCAGGGGAAGATTACTGCAAAATCCCCATTCCCTCCCCACCCCACTAACCTGCTTTCCAGCTCCCTTCTCCTGTGCAGTGCAACCAAAGAAGACCCAACCAATCAGCTGGGACTCAGGAGGCAGAGAATGGATGGGGGCGAAGCCAGCCAGTCAGAGGTGGGATTTGCCGGTTCTCCAAACTACTCAAAGTTTCTGCTACCGGTTCTCCAGAACTGGTGAGAACCTGCTGAATCCCACCTCCGGAGTGGCGTCAAGCTGGCCACACCCATCCAGTTGGCCATACCCAGCCAGTCACCCCCCCCCCCCCCCCCCCCATGTCAACCACAGCCCTGATGTAGCCCTCAGTGAAATTGAGTTTGACACCCCTGCACTATTGTTTCAACCAGGATATTGAACAAGTAGGTTAGATCAGGCAGCATAAATGACAGTTTTTTCCAAGTCACCATTAATTTTAGGCATTGCACGAAACGTAGCATAAAATATGAATCCAGATATTTACAGGTGGTCCTCAACTGAGGGCCACAATTGAGCCCAAAATTTCTTTGGATCAGTGAGACGTTTGTTAAGCGAGTCTTGCCCCATTTTACGACCTTTCTTGCCATACTTACGAAGTGAATCCCTGCAGTTGATGATAAGTTAGTAACCCTGTTGTTAAGTGAATCTGGCTTCCCCATTAACTTGATATGTCAGAAGGTTGCAAATCCCATGACCTTGGGACACAGCAATCGTCATAAATATGAAGCCGTTGCCAAGCATCTGAATTTCAATCACATGAATCATGGGGATGCTGCAAAAGGTCTTAACTGTGAAAAAGTCATGAGTCAAATTTTTCAGTGCCGTTGTAACTTTGAATGGTTTAGTTTAGTTTAGTTTAGTTTAGTTTAGTTTATTATCATTGCACCTCGTACAACAAAATCAAACACCATCTTCAGTGCACATCATGACCATGAAAATAAACACAAACACACATCCTTCACACTCCACACATTGAACCGAAAACCCCCGACACCACACCAACACTGCGCTATACAGCAGAATTCAACAGAGCTACTGCCCTGGGACAGAAGCTGTTTTTCAGCCTATTTGTCCTTGTTTTTATTATTCTGTACCATCTGCCAGATGGTAATAGTTCAAAAAAAGGGTTCCCAGGATGAGATGGATCTTTGAGAATGTTTTGAACTTTCTTAAGGCAGTGGGAGCTATAAAGCTCTTCCAAAGAGGGGAGAGGGCAACCCATGATCTTCTGGGCAATGACATTAACCCTCTGGAGTGCTGTCCTATCTGCCACTGTGCCATTGGCAAACCATAGAAAGGTGCATTAAGTTAAAATACTCTCTCTGGTGCAGCGGTAGAAGGTCACCAGCAGTTTTTCATTCAGTTGTTGTTTTCTGAGAAGTCTCAGGTAGTTTAATCTCTGCTGGGCCCTTTTGACCAGGGCTGCAATGTGAGCCCCCCAGGTCAGGATCTCTTTTATGGTAACACCCAGAAACTTAAAACTGACCACTTGCTCCACTCGGTCTCCATTGATAAGCAAGGGCTGGATGTCTGATCTGTTCCTTCTATAGTCCACTATAAGCTCCTTGGTCACTACTACATGAACTGTTGTAAGTCGAGGACTATCTTTATGTGGGGAAAACCGTCCACGGTATCAGAAGAGTTGCAGCAGGGTTTGTTTTGTTTCAGAATTGTGTGCCCTTTGTGGTGTTTTCCCCTTTTTTGGTTTCCCCGGCTGGATTTCGTATTGCAAAAATATAGCTTAGCAAAGCAAGCTATCGCAAGAAGATCTGAGAAAAAAAATAATGGAGTGTCAATCAGCCTAGGAACGAGCAAGAGAGATGTGCTCCTTTCCCTGTCTCTTCCAGATGAGGGCTATGAGATCTTGTCTAACTTGCCGGAGAGCGTGGTGTACGCATGCCGACCCTGCTGTGGCAGCGATAAGACCAAGTGGCGAGAGGTCCTTAACTCAGAGCTGCGCAAGGGACTGCGGCAAGTGTTGCAAGGACTGCTGAGCTCCAAGTGTGTGGCGCCACTGATGCAGTGTGCACAGGTATGGGAGCATTTCTTTTCTATTTCCTCTCTTTTCCCCAACAAGTGTTGTACCTTATGATTCTTGCTGAATGTATTTTTTTCTTTTTATGTACTGAAAGCACATGCACCAAGACAAATTCCTTGTGTGTCTAATCACACTTGGCCAATGAAGAATTCATTCATCATTCCTTCCTTCCTTCCTTCCTTCCTTCCTTCCTTCCTTCCTTCCTTCCTTCCTTCCTTCATTCATTCATTCATTCATTCATTTATTCACCATTCAACAAAATTTGGTGACGCAGAGCACTCAGTGTAGGTGACCCAAATGCAAAGGCTGCCAATTAGTTAGGCAGACGTTCTCCCAGGCACTGGGCTAGGGAAGTTAGAGCTCTTGTGAGTATACAGTTTGTTTCTCTGGTGGATTAGTTCTGCCATCTGGTTATTGTTATCGTCTCATGCTCTTTGTGTATCTCTGGTTTGCTTCTTATGTGATGAGCCACCCAAAGTTGACTGGAGTTGGGCAGCGCCCAAACTAAATAAATACAGAAATGCAAAGATGCCAGTTCTTGTTTTAATCATCATATGGATTGGGAGCTATTTGAAAAGCTATCACTTTTCAGCGAATGCATCCATATTTTGAGATTGGCGGCTAAACCCTCCTGACGCATTATTTCAGAGGCAATAGCAAGCTTTTCTCAAGGGCTACACCTTTTAGTAGAAAGATTAGTTGAGATGCTCCTGAGACTGAGATTCCGGTCCTTCCCCAGACAGATTTATGGACTTCATCTCCCAGAATTTTTCTCAGGGTCCATTTTGATCGGGGGAGCACCAGGATTTTTTAAGCCTATGTATGTAGTGGGTGCCCAGGTTGGAGAGCACTGGTCTGAAAGTTGCTTGCACATTGCTGTTGTTTTGCAAATTTCTCTTCCTTATGAAGAAGCTTCTTGTTCTGACCCAGCCTTCGCAAGTAGCGATAAGACATTTACTCACAAGTAAAACAACTCCTTTTTTTAAAAAATAACAGGGCAGTAACAGTCTTTTATTCACATGGATAAACAAAAATATCAACCGTAATTAGTCCCAGCAAAGCTGGGTTTAGCCAAGAAATCAGAATTGCTTGCTGTATACTAGGAACGAATGGTTGTCTGCAAGAACCAGCCACTCCCAAACCCCTCCTGTTTATTTCCCAGACGGGGAGGGGCTGGCTGTCATCCGTGTCTGCCTCTCCCTGAGAGTTGGCTTTTGTTTTCCTTTGCTCTCCTCTCTTTTTCCTCTCTGCGTATATACACGCACATCTGGGATGGGCCCAGTCTCTTCCTCCCTCCCCCTCAGTCAGCTCAGGCCCCAAAGACAGCTGCCTCTCCACCTGGGGGAGGACGGAAGGCCCAGGCTCTGCCTCTGATGCTGCTTCCTTATCAGAGTCTTCCAAAGACTTCGAAGCTGCCCGAGACTCTCCCTCCACCTCCTCCTCATCTGACTCTGCAGCTAGCTCTGCTGGCAGCCGACGGGCCACAACACATGTCCAAGGACAGTGACGGCTAACCTTTTCGGCACCAAGTGCCCAAAGTGCGCACGCACTTCTTGAAAATGCAACACTTGTGCGCCCTTCACGCATGCGCCCCACCCCCGCACACGCACACACACACACACACCCTGCACGTGCCCCACCCCCACGCATGCGTGGCAGTGACTTGAAGATCAGCTGGTTGGCAGGAGGTGCATGCGTGTGCATGCACAGCACAGCTGAGCTGGGGCAATGGCTTGCGTGTCCAGAGAGAGGGCTCCGTGTGCCACCTCTGGCAAGCATTGCCTAGGAGAACTGTGGTTGTGGTTATGGGTGGCAGGTAGAAACTCTAAGCCGCACGACAGCGGTCCATTTTCCTCCCCTGTTTGCTGTCCGCAGTGCTGCCCGGATGATGGTGTGAAGGTTCACCTCCGGCCCTGTGACCTACGCACCGTCAACAAGCTCTTTGAACAGGGGAATTACTCGTCCGTGGTGAGTGTGGAGAAAATAATCAAAAGAACTGGAGAGTGGGAGCCCCCTGTGACCTCCCTTGAGCTTTCTCTCTCTCTCTGCAGCACAGCTTCAATGAGGACATAGTGGGAGTCCTATTGGGACAAACGGAGGAAGAACAGGTCACCTTCTCTGCAAAGAAACTCTATCTTGAGGTACTCCTCTCTCCTCACCTGGGGGTGGTGGTGGAAGATGCTCTCTCGAATTCATTGAGTTGACGTAAGGGTTAAAGGGTGCATGTACGCATGGAGTCCCTGTTCCATCTTAGCCTCACCCACCTTCTCTCCTGTAGATAGGTATAACCTCTGTCAGGGTTAGACAAGCTGTTCTAAGTTGCAACAGCTGTTTGGGCTGCATTTCAGGTTTTGGAAGTCAGTCTCCTGGGTTTCCTTCCAGAGCTTGGACTACAGTTCTTGGTTTGCTTTGCTTCATGGGAACAGCTGCCTGTCTGCCTAGGCCTCTGGACAGCTCTTTTCTTGTCTTTTTCAGCTGATGGGAAAGTATTTCGGCTGGTTTGATGCTCTGGATGCAAAGCACTGGACCCGCAACAGCTCCCTTCCCAAGTGAGTGCCTGGAACCAAAGTCATCTTGCGTGGTGTGCAATCTTATCAAACTGGGGCTGTTGGAAGCGGAGGGACCCTTCGTTACACCATGAAATGTGCACCAAATTAATTGCGGTCCCCAGCCTTTCCAGCTCTGCCAGCTGGACGAAGGGTGGACATGGCTCTGCCCACACCTATGACACTTGTGCAAATGGCGGCTGCCACCTGCGTAGCCCAATTGCCAACGGGTATGGTAGTAGTGCCTGCATGAAGGGTTAGGGACTCATCATCCATAGCAGGGGTGTCCAACTCACGTCGGCACGTCTTGAAATGAATGCTGTGCACCAAATTAATTGCGGTCCCCAATCTTTCCGGTGTCAGGATTCCCACGGATGCCCTAATTAATACATGAGCCTCGAGGCAAGTTTCAAAAGAAATCCAATTATTTATTAGGAGCAACATGTCGGCATTTTTCCCAAGTGCAGTCGGCTCTGCCCTATGTAATTTATTGCTCACCTATGACCCTGTTTCCCCACCCCCCCTCCTTCTTATGGCAACTCGAGAGCAAGCCAGGAATGCTTTACGAGTTGACATCTGGCTCTGCCGACTGGTGGAAGGGTGGGCATGGCTCCGCCCACACACATGACACTTGTGCAAATGGCGGCTGCCACCTGTGTGGCCCAGTTGCCAATGGGTATGGTAATGGCGCCTGGTTGAAGGGTTGGGGACCCATGATCTATAGCAGGAGTGTCCAACTCACGTCATCGTCATGTGATGTATCACAACTTTTTCCCCCTTTGCTAAACCGGGGGTGGGCGTGGCGCATCTGGCCTGCGGGCCAGGAGTTGGACACTCCTGATCTATAGTATGGCAGTTCCTCCCCAAAGTTTAAGAAAATGCCAAGGCTTCAGGGGAACTTTAAAAAAACAACAACAACCCACCAATAGAATTACCTTTGTCTTCAAAAGTTCCAGCTAATACAAAGAATCTGAGCAGAGCTCGGACACAACAAAGAATTAAGTATACGTGTGTAATCTTTGCATTTCAAATAATGTTTATTAATCAGCCATCTTCTTGTGACTGCATCCTAATGCAAGATTCCAGTCCCATTTTATGGATCTGGAACTGAGGCCAGCAGATGATTGCTAGTGAAGCCATGGCATTAAAAGGACAGTTACTGTGCAATGGGCTACCGGGAGCTGGCTACCTGTTTAGGTAATCCTCAAGTTACAACTGATCACGTAATGACCGTTCAAAGTTATGATGGACTTACGATCCATCCTCAAAGTTGACTCCTGCATCATCCCCACAGTTATATGATCACATTCGGGGCATTTGGCAACCAGCTTGCATTTTACGACTGGTTGCAGTGTCCCCCGGTCACCTGAATGTGTGTTATGTTTCTTTTTTTGCCATTTTCCAACCCTCCCAAAAAATGTCCATTAGATGAGCTGGATTTGGACTTGCGACGGTGGTGACCGCTTAAAAAACTGTCATAATGATGGTCATAAAATTGAATCCGGTCACATGGACTTATGACTACATAAATAACTTATGACCAAAATTCCAGGCTCCGTTGTGGTTGTCAGTTGAGAACTAACTACCTGTATTTGCCATGGCTGATTTTATGTCCCGTTCTTCTCTTCCCTTACATTTCAAATGTTTTATACTTATCTCCCTAACTCGTCTTTTCATTAAAAGTGCAAGTAAAGAACCCAAAAGGGGAAATAAAATAAAACAGAGCAAAGCCCAGATGCAAGAAAAAAAAGTGTTTTATTTTCAGTGCCGAATCTTACATTGTTCAGTCTACAAATTAAGCAAGTCCCCTTGAGCAAGACTCCTGAAACCTTTCACCTCTTGCTCACCTGTAACTCTCCTCAACTCCAGCCAGCTTGATCCACAATGAAAGATATGAAGGACAACGGTTGGGTGGCCTAGTGCAACCTTTACCTGTTTTGGGGGTGGAAATCCTATTGGATATAGCCTCTGCAGCTTCTGATGGTTTCCTGTTTTCTTCTCCCCTCTTCTGCTAGTGGCATGCTTCCCAATGCAGTTCTGCCTCCTTCCTCTGACCACATCTATGCTCAGTGGAGGCAGCCACAAGAGGTCAGCTCAGCTGCCAACAGCCACCTGAGTTCTGCTGGTTCTGAAAACATAGGTAAGTCTTTGATGGAAAGGCCTCAAGGGTCTTTGCTTCCAGATACCTTCAGACCAACAGTTGCTAAAGGGGACTTTCTTCTCGCCCCATATCTCCCCAATACAGGCACTTCCTTCTTTTGAGCCAGATTTCTGTTCCAATACTGTCTATAGCAGCCTTCTGCCATTCAGCCCTCTCCAAATATTATATTGTTAAATTTATTCGCTGCCTTATCTCTCCGTGGGGCTACTCTAGGCGAGTTAAAATAATTAAAAGGAAGAACTTGAAAGGCATGTAAACAGGAGTAAAATAATGAGAACCATGAAATAAATGATGAAAAAAGATACAATGAGAAGACATCAAGATGATAACCCAAAAGATGGTTGGGTGGAGAGCACTGCACAAGAGGTGGGGGAGATGGAGTCTGCCATCAGATTTATAGATTTAAGAGTTGTAAGGGACCTTGTTGGTCATCTATTCCAACCCCTCCACCCCACCCAAGCAGGAGATCCTACACCATTTCTGACAAATGGCAGTGCAATCTCTTCATGAAAGCCTCCAGTGATGAAGCTCCCACAACTTCCGAAGGCAACTTCTGTTCCATGGGTGGATTGTTCTCACTCAGTCGAGTACCCACCTGCAGCGTGGAACTGCCCCATTTGGTCATCAGGCCAACCAGCAGATACGCTGGATTACCAACTCCGTTTTTCCACCCAGCCCCATGCAATCAGAAGAGTATGAGAGTTATCCATCTGGCACAGTAGAAGGGCAGAAGGCTGGTCTTTCTGATTCTACCAGGAGATACTCTGGAGTTTCTTCTGTGGAATAAAGATCCTGTCTCCTTTTCAGGATCTCCTGTGCGCTGAGGAAATATTAAAGGAGTTGTAGGGAAGGGAGATCAAAAGCCAATGTTTTTCTTTCTCTCCTTGCAGCTGGGAAAGAGGCAGAACATGTCCCTCCAGAGCAGCTGTTGGCGGACCCTGAGGATAAGAGACAGTGTGCTCTCTGTCTTCAGTTTGGAGATGCTCCTTCCAAGGTAAAAATGATCCGGCCAAAGTCCTTGGCTCTTGGAATGGCCAACCTCAGGAAATCCTACAAGGAAGACCTGAAGTATAGATCAAAGATTCTCAGTGTCTGTGGAGATTCTCAGTCCTCCAGGTCCGGGATCTTCAAACTTGACAGCTTTTAAGACTTGTGGACTTCAACTCCCAGAATTCCTCCTTCAGTCATATTAATTAGCTCAGGAATTCTGGCCAGCTCAACATCACTCGTGTTGGGAGCGCCTGTGATGGCCCAAGTGCTCTGCAGTGAAAATGGGCTCCTGAGTGCCACTTTTGATTGCGACAGCTTCCTGTATCCCTCTGCCAGTGAAACCAGAGCTCGGGAGGGCTGCATGTAGCCCTCACAAGCTCAGTTTTTGATTGCGACGGCTTCCTACAACCCTCTGCCAGCGAAAACAGAAGTTGGGAGCGCTGTGTGGGGCTCTCGTGAGCGCCGGTTTTGCTGGCAGACGACTGCGGGCCAGTCCTTCGTTGTTTCCAGGCATCCCTGTGGACTGGATCTGGCCTGCAGGCCTCGAGTTTGACACCCCTGTTATAAGTTGAGGGCTAAGAGTAATCCTAGGCAATCAACCATGATGGGATTCACAATCCGTATTAAATCCAAACCAAACACACCTAATCCCTTCTCTCCAGGACGCAGGGAGGCTGCTGTACATTGGCCAAAACGAATGGACTCACGTCAACTGTGCCATCTGGTCAGCGGAGGTCTTTGAGGAGAACGATGGCTCCTTGAAGAACGTACATGCTGCGGTGGCTCGGGGCCGGCAGATGGTGAGTTTGGGTCATTCCTCTTTCCCTCTGATCCCCTCTTTATTTGAAGGGCCCTCTCTGTGGGAAACACACCAGAGAATGGGAGGGGTGGCATCAAAACCAGAATTGTTAGGTTAGATCTGTTGTTCAGGCAAGATGTTCCAAGTCGGGCAACACAGTAGTAATCCCAGTTGGTGATGCTGCTGGAAGATCTGCTCTGGGTTCCAACAGAGGTGCTGGTGTAAATTCTGCCTGAGCCCCAAAGACTCCAAAGTGGCTCAGAACAAATGTGTACTTGTATCCAAGGCATCATCTCGATCTGAGCTGAAACAAAAGCAAAACATGCACCCTCTGGGAGACCATTTTGAATCCTATTTTCAGAGTCTTGAACTGCCAATATTAATCTTAAGAAGAAGTCGAGTAGGCCAGTGGCCCCCCAACCTTTTGGACACCAGTTCCGTGGAGAGAGATGTTTTTCCACGGACGGGAGGGGAGCATGGTTTCATGTGTTGCCTGCATCCTGCGGATGGGGCTTCACTTGTGTGCGTGGCCTGATTTCTGGCATGCTGTGGACCGGGGGTTGGGGACCCCTGGAGTAGACTACAACAAGGGGCCACAACCCACTATCGGGCCGTGGGCTATTTGCAATTGGGCCATGGTTGCGGAGGGCAGTGCACACTTGTGAGCTGGCGTGTGATGTCATGCCCCTGTTGGAGACTGACTCCGAGGGAGAGGAGGAACAGCCGAGAGGGAGTGGAAGTGTGGCTCCGGAGGTTGTGGAGGAAGCTGGGGTAGGGCACAGGCTGGCTGGGCAGTCAGAGGAGGACCCAGGCCCATCCCCTCTCCATCCTAGGGTACGCAGGGAGGAGTGGATAAGGGAGAAACATGAATGGAATGGTCTATGGGGGAGGAAAGGGCCTTGATCCCCTTCATTGGCTGCAGCTGTGAGAAGTGGTTAAAAGGACGGACTGCGCATGAGCCAGTGCTGGAAACAAAGCATGAAAATATTTCTAGTCTGTCCGTTCTTACCTGAGTTTGGCGTCCTTCCCAGCGTGTATTCCGATATCTGTGGATGTTTTCAAGCCCTTATCTTGCCTGGTTCCCTTAATTGCTTCAGTGTGGTTTGGGTTGTTTTTTCTATTTATAATTTATAGGTATTTTTAGTTTAAACGGCATTTCCTCCTTTTTGCAACTGTTTGTGGGGGAATTTTTTGTCTCCAGTCAAGGACATTTGGAGCTTTGAAGCCAAGTTGAAGGAATTAAAGGGACATCACCTGTTTTTGTGTCTGTGTTGTTTTTGTACCCCTCCCTGGGTCATCACATGTGTGTTCACAGCCCCACTTGTGCTTGCAGCAGGTGCCAGCGCTCACAGCCCCACTCACACTCATAGCACCCATGCACACTCACCATTCACACAAACGAAGCTGTGTGCACACGCCTGCCCCTCACACCAAGCCATCCCCTCTTCCCTCCTCCTCCCCTCGCGCCTGGCCGCCAACCCAGAAAATTTAGGGAATACTGGACTACAAGATTGCCAATGCCCTGCCTACTTTTTGTAGCTGGCTGGGCTTGCTTAATGATGTGGGAGAGATTGTAGGGAAAGGAGAACATGGCAGGCACAAGGACTGCGTGCTTATAGGTCTCTCTTGTTTGCACGCTACAAAAAATAATTAGATGACAGCAGCAATGGCTGCTGGGCCTTTTACATAGTTCTGGCCTGCTGTGCTGACATGGCCCACCCTGTCCTTGACCCCTCCCTCCCTCTCTCTCTCTCTCTCTTTTCCTGCTCCAGCGCTGTGAACACTGTCAACGCACCGGGGCCACGGTTGGCTGCTGCCTCTCTGCCTGTCTCAGTAACTACCACTTCATGTGTGCCCGCCTCTGTCAATGTACTTTCCAGGAGGACAAAAAAGTTTTCTGCCAGAAGCACGTTGACCTCTTGGATGGAACGGTAAAAGGGGGAACTGGGGAGGGGAGAGGAGGCAGGAGAATTGCCGGGGAGGGGGGAGGAGTGGACAGTGCAGGAGTTTCCATTAATGCTGGGATTAAAAGGTCCCGGCTGGGAGAGTTTCATCGCTTCTGGCTGGAGGAGTGAGCTGGGTTTCCCATAGGTGTACGATCTGCAAAGAGTGTGTGGCATTTGTGTGTGTGTGTGTGTGTGTGTGTGTGTGTATACTGGTGAGACGATTATGAATAAGCAGTGTGCGAAGCTCTCATTCTGCCTGTCCTCTAGGAGATCGTTGCTGAAGATGGGTTCGATGTCCTACGGCGGGTCTACGTCGACTTTGAGGGAATCAGCTTCAAGAGGAAATTTATGGTGGGCCTGGAGCCGGATACCATCCACATGATGATAGGTACTTGACGGGGTGCGAACGAGCAGCGGTGGGATGAGAGGAAGCATTGGGATCCAAAGTATAGATGAGTAGATTGCTTCTCCCATAAAGGCGGAGGTTCTCGTGGTGGACGTGGGAATGAATTTAAGGGTTCAGAGGTAAAGAAGATCTGATCTGAAAATGTCTCTGCGGCCCTCATGTTCATGCCTCCCGCTCTGGCAGGGCTCATCTTCGGATTGCGTAGAAGCAGAATGGGGCCATACCCCGAGAGCACTGCATGCCGTAGGAGGTGTGATGTGTTTCCAAGAGAACAGACTTCATTCCCTAGGAGTGCATTTTTTTTTTCACATGGAAATGAATGGGAGCAATTTATGGACATGGGATAAAACACTGGTTCACATCACTGAAATTAGAATTTAACCTGGTCTTGGTGGCTTCCGTGGCTTTATATGTATGGGAAGGGGTGGGTGAGACTATTAAAGAAAACGGTCCCTCCAAGGGCTGCACTGACGACAGCCATGTTGGTGTCTAGGTGAGCCGTGGTGGCACAGTGGTTACGATGCAGTATTGTGGGCGTAGTCTGCTCACTGCCCGGAGTTCAATCTTGACTGGCTCAAGGTTGACTCAGCCTTCCATCCTTCTGAGGTCTGTAAAATGAGGACCCAGATTGTTGGGGGGAAATAGGTTGACACTGTAAACCACTTAGGGCTCTAAAACACGGAAGTGGTATAAGTGCTATTGTGAGCAATAATTAGAGAAGAACAGAAAAGAAAGTCTTTTCTGGAGCATT